TTTCAATCCTTTTGACACTATACCCAGAAGTGGAATCGCTAGGTCGTATGATAGTTCTGTTTCAGCTACTGTGGAGCCACCAGACCGTGTCCCCCGGTGGCCGCCCAGTCTACGTTCCCACCAGCAGCATACAGGCTCCAGGCTCTCCACACCCTCGCCAACGCCTGTTCTCCACTTCTGACCATGGTCATCCTACTGGCTGGGAGGTGGTATTTGACCCATTGCTGCTCAACTGAGGGTCTTCCCTCCTCCCACCGGTCAGGGCCACAGCGGCCTCTGGGCTGGGTGAGGGCAGCCTGGAAGCAGAGGCCCAGTGCTGCGCGGCTTGAAGGCCCGGCTGTCCTGGGAGGACCCGCCAGCATCCAGGAGTTGAAAACTCTGAGTGGAGGAGTCTGGGGTGCAGAAGGTAAAGCTGGCCCCTGGGGGGTGGGAGCACAAGGACAGGGCCAGTGTCTGCATCTGCGGGAGCATGAGGGTGAGCAGCCAATTGCCACAGCAGGGTCAGGGGTGCAGTTCTAAAGGAGCAGGAATGGGGAAGGTGGAGACACAGACGGACGGGGAAGTTCTGGGGAAAGCTGTTCGCTTTTGCCAATTATGTTGAACAAACCAAAACAGGAACTCATTTTGGTTCAATGTGCAGGCTGGGACACATTAGAGCAAACACCAGTGGGTATAATATGCACGCTCTTCCCTTGTCCGGGAATTTTGTTGGCAATCGTAACTGCCATCCCTGCCGTGCACCGTGCCGAGCACTTTCACGCATGGGCTCCCGTGATCCCACAAAAGAACCTCTGATAGAGGTACGGTCATTACCCCACTTTAAAGAAGAGGAAACAGAGGCACAGAGAGGGGTCACAGGCCTTGCCCTGAATCTCCCAGCCAGGAAATGGCTCAGAGCCCGGTCCGCGTGAAGCACAACCCCACTGGGTCACGCCATCCCTCTGAAAGTAGCACTCCCCTGCCTGGGACTGGGGATAACAGGCTCCTGGAGGGAGAGGGCTCCCTGGGCAGGTTCTCCCCAAAACCCAGGTCAGCTGGGGCCGGGTGGGAAGGTGGAATTCTCTGGACGGAACCGAGGTTTGAAGCCACTGCCTCTGGCTGGCCGGTCCCAAGTATGACCTTTAAGCTGACCCAACAACAGTACAGTCAGTGTGGACTGCTGAACGAACAGGACTCATTCTCAGCACCTCTGTTAGCCTCTCTGAGTCTCAGTTCCCCTCATCCGGAAAATGGGCACACAGCCGCCCTGAAGGTGCCTGTGGGGAGGACCCGCGCGTGTGACACAGCCTGCCTGCCCTCTCCTTGGTTGAATGACCCCCGCCCAGGCCAACCTCTGGGGCACCTCAGACTCATCTTAGGTTTCGAGGGCTCTGCCACAGCATCTCTACCCCTCAAGGGCCCAAACATCGGCTGTTAGGGGCCCTGTTTGGCCTTACTGGGAGACCAGCCAGAGCAGCCGGCTGTGTGTGCAGCTCAGCCTCAGCCTCAGGCCTGGTGAGGACAGAGAGCACTCAGGGCCCACGGCAGTCGGGGGGGGGGGCTGGGGGGGTGCTGCCAGGACGCCTGGCAGCCTCTAATCTCCTGCCCCACGAGGGGCTGCAGGTGCTCCCCAGAGGACACAGCCTCCCCATTGCCCTGAATTAGGAGAGGAGCTCAGGAAGCCCTGCCCCAGTTCTGGATCCCTGTCCCAAAAGGCAAGGCCTCTCTTTAAAAACGGGTGTAATGGCATCCACCGGACTGTAGATGGGAGGGATTAAGGAGAAAAGGTCTGCTAAAGCTGTTCATGGCACTTTGTGGGTGTGGAGGGTGAATAAATGCTTTTTTTTTTTTTTAAAGATTTTATTTATTTATTTGACAGAGAGAGAGACAGCGAGAGAGGGAACACAAGCAGGGGGAGTGGG